AACACTGAACACAAATGTGGTATCTCCACAATCGACTAATCAACCACGCTTCTCAGCACAACACCTCACACTTCAGCCCGCACACTCCATTTAAACACGCCTCTTCTGCTCTCAGCTCATCCAATAGTCGGATTATGCATGGTCATGCCACAAACTTAATTGACGCTTAAAGGACGCTACTTGCATGATGACCAGAACGTTCATGGGATCCTCGTACTCGCAAAGGGTGCGTGGAATGAAACCATAATTGTGCGGGTACACTACAGACTAGTAGTCAGTTCTTTGTAGGAGAGTACTTTCAAGTATCAACAAGTGCATTCCAGCGTTGTGAAAGCGTACTTCCGATATCAATATGATGAAGAGGGGTACTATGTTAGACTGGACTTCTAGTTATCTAAGACTGTCTAGTTACGTGTGTCTGACATCTTACACTTCGACCTGCAGCAATAGCGTCTCAGTGATGCTGGCTCTCGAGGTGTAAGGATTCCTGAACCGAGTGGTATTGTGTCGTGACAGGTTTTGGGGAGGTTATAGAGAGCACAGCTCCGACGTGATCTGCCCAGAAGCAGGCTAGGGTGGAATCGGGGTTGCAAAAAGCATACATCCAAAATGTCTTCAAAGATGAACGTTACTATAAATATGGAGAATGAAGGCAGCGACCACGAGACGGGGGGCATGGACAGCAACACAAAAGCTCACTACCTCAGAGTGAAGAAGTTTTTCACCTCCGCTTCACCGCCCATCCTGAATTTTGAGCGCTGCAGATACAATGCAGGATACACATTTGACGCTGATGGCATGTACTTGTTTGGCTTCATCGGAGCACGAGAGAATGGTACAAACTAATCTCTCGCCAATCCAGTTTCACTATGCAGCTGAAAGGAACTCGGATCTTTCTAGACTTTCCTGCTGGTTGCTTTGTTGAATCGTCTCCTTGAAGTTTGTAGTGTAGAAGTTCTGGGCTTGATTCCACTCGTGCAAGCATTTAGTATTTCTAAAGCAAGGGAAGAGTCCACCAAATGGTAAAAGGTGCTAACAATGCTCCGTTGCATTGCTCAATGTCTCCATTCACATTTGGAGATTTAGGAGACATCTACCACGTTTGCAACATGTGCATGGCCGATGATCATAGTTAGGAATTTATTCAGTTTTTGAGAGAGAAACCAAGTAGTTATGTCACCATATAATAGTCCTTCTACCTCCAAGATTCCACATTCTTTTTTATTATCCAATCCAACAATTAGTAGATGAAGTATTTAAGTATATCAAAGATATGAATTTCAAAGAAAGAAAATTAGATACATTCTTATGTCACTCAAAAAGATAAGAAAGACATTCAAAGATGGTAATATATTGAACTAGAATAGCTTAAAATGAAGAAGACTAGAAAGTCTTGAAATAAGACTAAAGACTAGAAAAATATTGATTAGAGTAAAGAAAGCTTTATTCTTACTTTTATATATACTCTTTAACTAAGAGCTATGTAGTGATGTTCTATAAGATCTCCAATACATGTTGACTTTGCTAGATACATGTCTTATTTTGTAAGGCAAGTTATCTATATGTGTGCCACATAGTTAACTTGTTCTACAAGCTATCAATACATGTGATACATGGCTAACTTGTTGACTAAGTTTCTAACCTATCAATTAATTACAAACACGTATAAAGTCAAAGTAATATCTATAAGGCTTTTAGAAAGCTTTTTTAAAAGATATTATGAAATTAATATAATTTTATTTATTATTATTTAATTATATAGGTAATTATTAGAATAAATATATATATCCATGATATTACCTTCTCTTCTAAGAATGAATTCCATGAGGAGCGATAATCATATATTGAAAAAACTTAAGATGCAATGATTTGTATTTGCTATATATTATAATCTTTGTTTTATTTGGAGATGGTTGATACATATTTTCAATTATAAATAATATCCTATATCAAGGCAAAAAGACTCGTGAATCTTTTTCTATTAAAGGTGTAAACCAAGAGAGAACACTTCCTGATAGTAGTATGCCTATGAATCCGACTTGGATAAATCCATCAAAATATTGAAAAGGATGCAATCTTAAATAGAGCTTGACTTATTGCAAAAATCCTCGAAATTTTGATCTTGTTCCATCAAACTTTTCAGGCATACTAATCCTTGTCCTTGACATACTTGTAGAAGCAAAATTCCCTAAATCTAGTTGTGACGTTAATCTACTAGCTTCTTTCAACTGCACAAATTCTTGCCACAGACTTTGAACTTCTTCTATAGGCGTAGATGTAGTACTTCCATGATTCACATTAGAAATATGTGAGATTTTCACTCTTAGAGTATTGATAAGCTCATGAAGATCTACGATAGTTACAAATCTATTCTCATTTCCGTTGAGAGTAGCATCTATAAACTTTCCTTCCATAGACAACTCAAACGAATTCAAAAGTTAAATTAGATGAGGATAATCTATAAAGTCTAAAAACAAATCCCACAAAGAGGGATAATCCACTCTCTTTAAGGAAAGGATCACTATCAAAAAATAAGATTTTTTGTTTAAAGGTGGGTAGTCCGCAACCTTCAAAATACAATAATAGAAGTGAAGTAATCCACTTATTTCTAAAACAAGACAGAAACAATATGTTAGCACTTTTGTCAAACTATTAAGGCATGAGTCTCAAAGAAAGAGAATCCTCAATACACTCTTCTATCACTGAAGAGAACTAGAAAGTCACACAAAAAGTGTTGTAATATTAACTACAATGGCTATTGCCAAAAACAAGAAAACTAGAAAGTCTTCAAACAAGACTAAGACTAGAGAGGCATTTACAAGAGTGAAGAAGGCTTCACTCTTGCTTCCATATATACTATCTAATTAAGAGCTATGTGGCGATGTCATATAGGACCTCCAACATGTGTTGACTTTGCTAGCCATATGTCTTATCTTGCAAGGCAAGTTATCTATATATGTGCCACGTAGTTGGCTTGTTCCACAAGCTACTACATCGAGATAACTTGTTCCACAAACTACTAATACATGGTTAGCTTTTTGGCCAAGTTTCTAATCTACAAACAGATCTAAAGTCAAAACTACATCTATGAAGCTTTTAGGAAGCTTTTCTAGAAGACTGTATGAAATTACTCTATATTTACCTACTTCTATTTAATCATATAAATAACTATTGAGGTAAACGTATATGTCCATGACACTTGGTTACTAATTAAACACTTGATCAAAAAAATTGAACCTCCAAATAATCTTGTTGATCTCTTCACCAAAGATTTCTTTTTGAACAACCATCGCCAACTTACTTATGGTATTGGCATGCATCAATTTACTTTTCTTGAGCAAAAGTTAATAAACTCTTAAAATGATGTAGTACTCTTTTTCCTTCATCTATGGTTTTGTATTTGAATATAATAAGGCTTTCTTAGATAAGATTTTAATAAGGTAGCAATTATTGATCTTGCAAGATTATAAAAAAGTATAGATCATAATTCTATGCAAATTTCATATTATGTAAATATTATGATGAGCAAAAAAGAGTGTTGATAGCATTTAATGTAACCGTTGCTTTCAATATAATCATTGTAGTTTTAGAAAATATTGTAGCATTGTAATATCACCCGTTAATATTATTGCCAGAGTGGACAGTGATTGAGAAGTGGATACGGAAGCTGCTGAGTTTTTGCCTTTCCAGCCCGGTGGTAGACCCACACCCCGACGTGGCACACAATTGCCAATCACTAGTTCTGTCGCTACGCCTCGGAAAGGCGCCCCGATTTGCTGCCGTGGCCCAAAATAAGCTCCTCCGGCATCTCACCAGATGAAAATGTCGGCACCCCCTGGGATTTATCTTCATCCAAACCAACCCTGTTCAACCCATACAACCGTCAATGACAATTTCGCAAGCACATGTGCACATCCACATTCTACGGTGCTCCGACGCGGCAGCATGACGACCAATCAAGGCCGCTCTCCGCCTTCTTACCTGGATGAATGCCTCACTGCGCCTTGTCAACCCATGATGTTTTGACCTGCAGCCTGCGTGGAGGTTGAGGTGAAATGGTCGGCACCAGATGGGCAGAAAGCTCCGCATGACGCTACAGGTTTCATACCCTCGATCTCACGTGCCACCGCTTGCTCACATGCACGTTCCGCAGCATCCCCCTCTCTCGCTGCATTCCCATTCCCATTCCCCGTCGTCAGCTACATTCAACAGCCGCTTGTGGTACAGCACGCGAACGCATCCCTGAACGCGGCCGACACCCCTTGCCAAGCTTCAGGGTGGGCGCTTGTTCACGACCTCTCCGATTGCCACACCAACATGTAATAAAGGGCATCTTCCGGAAAGGAGACACACCCCGTGCCTGATAGAATCTATGAATGAAAAACAATTATCATAATTTTAATGAGAATGTATACATTGGTTGAAGGTTGTATGGTGGATGCACGTGTTGTTCGGATGTAATACGCCATGAAACCTACATTGAAGTTGACAAGTTTGCAAAGCTTCTTATTTGATGTTTGCCTGTGTACTGTCCAAATATTTTCGCCGTTATAAGCCTTTTTTTACTCAAATAGATTTTGAAAGTTGAAAAGGAAGTGAGGATTGTATTTTGATTTAAGTTTATTATTATGTTTTCTCCTCCTGTTATCCCGATGGCCGATTTATAGGAATTTGTCATGTGCTTTTCATGGCATGGAATACCATGGGAAATACTTGACTCCCGACTTGCAATTTTTGTTGGCTATGTTTGCATTTTGGAAGGTCTGGGTTCTTTTGTAGGTACATGTAGAACACCGTCAAAGGATTGAACAAAACAAGTGGTCTCCATGAGGACTTACCTGATGAAATTGGGACCATTCGAACGAAGATGGTACCGAGTGCTTGAGATTTCGCCGTCTAACCCGTTTAGTTTTGAAATACTGCTTTCTTGTGATGTGCATATTTTTCGTAGAACTTAAATGCTTGTTTTGAGTTCAATCCTGCAGAGATTAAGATGCAGATTGGAGGACTTATTCTAATAGCTGTTCAATTGCTTCGAATACATACGAATAGAGTACTAATATACATTCACTTGCATTGCGACTGCGCTTAAATTCCTAGTGAGTGTTGCTAAGCCTCAGCTTTATTGCAGTACGTATCTTAGCCAACCTTGGCCCTATTTTCCCCGTTTCTCCGAAGCCAAAGGTGTTCCTTGCTGCAGAGTGAGATGCACTGAGCGATTAGCAGCCAGTGTTACTTCATATCATTGTCAGCATACTGTCTGAAAGACAAATTGAAGCGAACGTCATTGAGCCAGCAATGTGACTTGAGCACGCTAGCTTTTACCATCGAGGATCTGGAAGTCCACGCAGAACTAGCTCACCAGGTACTCCACCAACACCTCAATGTCCAACCCATAGGTATAACCGCGATGCTTACGTCTTTCGCTTCTTGGATTTCTTACTTTGAAACGTAGTCCCATCCATCGTAGCGTCTTTTAGACATTGATCCCATATCTGCTTAAATTCAGCATGTGCCTTATTTTGCACCCAGGCAAGGACCTCTGAATACAAATACATTGGGTCCCTTTGCCATGCCTTAGCTAGCTTCTTTCGTGAGTCAACTGTCTCCAACCCTGTCCCAAGCTTGTGCAATAGTTCTCCCACTCTAACTTGGCCATGTGACTCTGGCTTTATGATTATTGCTGGATCCGCTGCTAAATGGGGCAGCAAGGAACGAAAGGAAGGAATTACTTTACCTTCCAGTAAAGCAGCTGCAAACACAGAAGCTCTTGCTTTGCTATTATTTAGTGGTATAGGATGGGGAGGTAGCTCCCAACGATGCGGCCCAAAGGTAGGTAATACCCAACACATTACTGTGTCTAATGAAGGGTCGTACCAAGGAGGTGGATCGGCAACTGGTTTCGAAAACGTACAAAGTGGAGTAGCGTGTGACACTAACCAATTCGCTTTGACAGCTGTCACACCCCACATGTAAGGTCGGCCTGTTGAGATGATCTCGTTGTACACGACGAACTCAGGAGCCTCCTTGGCCAGCGCTGATGCTGGGTGGAGGAATACAGTTTCTTCGACTGCACATGCTTGATACCTAGACAGTTAAAAGCAAGGATAATTAGTATGTAGCGCATTCAACTAGCACCCATACGTCTATGAATGATAGCGCTTTAAGACACGTTAACTTATCTCGAGTTAGACCTTAGGAAGCTATTAGCAACACCACTAGGCATAAACAGCACTATATATAAACAAAATAAAAATTAAAAAAATTGACAGAATTTTCTACCTACCAGACCTTCGAAACGTATGATTCCAGATCTCCGAACTAAGGATGTGAATAAATTTACCATCTGAATCTAACCAGTAGAAATTGAAACACATCAAATTATCCAAGGAAAAAAAATCAATAAATCACACCTGACAGCTTTCCGTTTTCCGTCTTCTTCTGGTATCAAAGCAAGTTCTCGTGCACTTAGTCGGTGGGCAACCCTATCAGACCAACCTGCCCAAGCCCATGAATCAGATGATATCGCTGTGGGCTGTTGTCCCAGCCGAACACAAATAAGGAAAGACGCAAACATAGAATCATGCCTAGTCGAACTAATTACACTGAAAAGGTCAATTTTTGTGTAAGGAGAACAACCAAGATCTTTACCTGCACAAATCGCCTGTTGAATCACCATTTCTTGATTAACATTCAACTTTAGCTGATCTTTCAAGTGCCAAGCTTTTTCACATTCCAGGAGGTAATCCTTTGTCAGCCCAGGTTCGTCTTTCAGGCCATGCTGTTCTTTCACATGTGCACCAGCATCAAGACTGTATTGCAACACTAGCTGAGACAATTGCTGACGTAACTTTGACATCTCTTGCATAGTCTTCCCATGGAGATAGTTGATTTCACAAAATTGCTCCCTGTTCTCAGCCTTTTCATAGGCCCAAAGTGCATTGACAACACTGAGCGCATCACTGTTAGTGTTTCGATATTTTCCATGAGCCCTTCCAGCTTCTGCTCGCCGTTGCTTCCTTTTCTTCTTCTCCTCTTCTGTGAGCTCAGAATCACCGTCCTTAACTTGAGATTTTATTTGTTTTTCCGAGGCCTTCGTCGCAGCTGGATTATTACCGTTCTTTTCAGCTCCGACAATCGCCAAGTCCTCTACTTCGATGCCTGAAAGAAAGAATTACATAAGAGAAGGGTAATCAAACTGTGCCCACGAGATCATGAAAAAGCACGCGATGTTGCTAGTATGGTGTAGGATTCCAACATAATCCTAAGAAAAGCGAATAATAGTGTTCAACTATAATGAAATATATATATATAATTTGGTTCTATTTTCACACAAATAACTGGAACATTTTCTACCATCCGTACTTGAGCTTCAGAAAGAAACCAACAATTTCGATTATTATACATTGTTTTTACATAAACCACCAGAATCAAACACCCCATTCTTCTTCTGGTTTATGCAGAGGGCAGCAGCTCAACGAATGTAAGATGCAAAGCTCCACATCTCATTAAGATCATATTAGCATATTCCCCTAAAATAAAAGTGCAAAACCCATCGAAGAATATTCTACATTATAGCCTGCGACTAATTCAGCTTCTGCTTCTGGTAAAACAAAAGGAGCTCGATTAGTTTCTGATAAATAAGAAATAGAGAACATAATAAATACAAGAAACTAGGGAATGTTGAACCATATCTGCTTTTGCGCGATCCTGCTTTAGAGCCCTCACAACCGTCTTACGACTTGAGGGTAAGAAGGATTAGCTGGTTAATTAAATAAATACCTGATTCTCGAAGAAATGGGTTCTCTAGGCTCAAAGCAGCCGCTGCTGCAACCGCAAATGCGACCACAATATGTCCTCTTCCATCCATACCCTGAGATGCATGCAGAGCTGCTAATATCATTCTTGCATGTCGAGGGCTAATTGGATAAACCGCCATAGCTTTACCGATCGGAGTTAAATTGCCATCAGGACCAAGAGCAGAGAGGGCTCGCAAGCACCTGTCGGCCTCCAAGAGGGCTTGCCTATCTGGAGGAGTAGGAAATGGGAAATTAATAACCTGGACAGAAACAGTAAAACATGTTAAAAACTGTCAGAGATGACCTCTGTTCAATTCACGTTCTATGAAATGTATGACATAAGCATTGATAGTGAAAAGAATTAACCTTAGAGATCCCCATGCGCTTCATCACAAGAACTACTCCTTCAATAGGTGCCGAGCTAATCTCAGGCGGTGAAAATTTTGGGAAAATGTTATTGAATACTGCAGATGAATACAGCCGATAGCAATGTCCTGGACCAGTACGGCCAGCTCTACCAGCACGTTGGTTTGCTGAGGCTTTGCTAATCCACCGCACCTCATACTTCGACATTCCATTGGCTCGATCAAAGTCTCTTTCCTTGGACCGGCCGGTGTCTACCACATACCTAGAACATAATATTCCAGTAACATTTAATACGACTTGGGATGCAGCAAAATCCATGAAATAGAGATGCAGCCAAATTAACTAAACGGAACCATTGAATGATGATATTTTTGAAATTAACCAACTGCAACCAGAAGCAACGCAACTGGTACTAAGATCCTACGTTATGTGCTCATTAGCGATTTAGACGTCTGGAAGAAAATCGTCAAAATATTGATTCGCGTAACATTCACTGTTGTACGTGGCTCACCTTATTCCAGGTATAGTAATGGACGTCTCTGCTACATTGGTTGCGACAACAACAAGTCGCGCTCCTTCAGGAACTTGTGCAAATACACGCAATTGTGCGGCTGCTGGGAGCATGGCATACAGAGGCAGCACGTACAGAGGTCCAGGGTCAGTACTCTGAGCTAGCTTAGCTGTCAGAATATTATCATTCCCAATTTCTGTTGAGTTTATTCTGGTTTGATCTACATCTGCATCTTTTTTGCTGGTATCTTCCACAGCGTCTAGTGACGACTGAAGATTCACAACATCTTCTTCATCGCTATCACTTATACTGTCTTCATCATGATCATCCGAGAAATCTTTATCGTCGCTTTCCGAGAAATTTCCATTCTCACCCTTTTCCTCATCGTCTTCATTAACTTCAGCAATACCACCAAGGCCACCGCCATCGTTCCCTGAATCAATACAGGTAGCAAGATGTGGTCAGACTGTCAAATCATGTCATATCAAGCTTAAACCAAGAATCGGCTAACTGCAGAACCAAAACATTATGAACTCAATTATTACAACTAACAACAGCAAGTATGACTAGCATTAAATAATAATCTCAGCATTCACTTAAGCATAAGGTATTAAACGAACCTACGAGTAGACAGAATTCTGAGCAAATCTGCCAGTGAAGAACTAACCTTCGAAACTGTCTAGATGACCATCCATTGCCTTACTAATAGACTCTAAGTTCAGCCCTTGAACATCTGTTCTCTGAGAAGAGTCTTCTGGTTCACCCTGTAAAATAAAACGCTGCATATGGTGAAAACAAACTCTTATTCGACCGAATTCCAACAAGGAGCAGCATCACAGTACTCAAAGGAGCTGAGGAAGGAAAGTGTTCTTTTGTGGGAAAAAGTGAAAGCTGTCAACTTCAATCCATACAGAAAATTCATAATCCAATGTCTGACTGCGATAAAAGTTTTTTATTTTGACCAATGATGGCAGAGTTCTTAACATCAGCACTTTGAGAAATAAATAATTCCGATTACTTGAAAGAAAGGTTTTACATCCAAACTATCAACAAAACAAGCCTCGTGTGAGCAATTTCATCAAGGGAGCGAAGCATGATAAGGAAGAAGAAGAAAAAAAAAAAAAAAAAAAAAAAAAAAATGCATATATGTAACTGTCTACCTTAGACTGTCCATTGTTGCTTTTTGGTTTGAATACTCTGCGCAGTTTACGACACAGATATTCCACCTCCCTCTGTCCTGTCAGGAACACAAGAATGCCACCCGGAGGTAGCTTCCGATGTATCGCACATACTTTTTTCTGTGCCCGGCCAACATAATCAATCATCTCTGTTTTCGCACTAAAATGCACAGTAACTGGAAATTGTCGAGCTGGGACCTGGATAACGGGAGGGGAAATTGGATACATTCTGCGATTAGATGTGAAATCTTCAACTCGAAGAGTTGCACTCATTATCACTAGTTTCAGTGGCATTACAGGAGCCTCTGAAGTAGTTATGCTGCCAATAGATCCAAGTTGTTCCATCTTTTGGCAGTACTCTTCGTACATTTTCTGCAACAGTCCAAAATCAAACGATAAGAATAATCTGTGCGATTACCATGAGGACAAGCATTCGTAGAATTCGAAGGAGAAAAATATGAGGAATTTCAGAGAACAATAGATTTAACTTCAACTCCGAACATCTGAAGAACTTTAGGACTCTCTGAAAAGTGTTCAGAGAACATTTGCAGGAATCGGTGGAAATATATGATCCTGAAATGTCTCCAGAGAGGATGAGTTTTCACAATCATGTCTTAAAATAGCTTTCGGGTAGGTTCTTTGAGCAGTATAATGTCAAGACAAGAACGACCAACCTCCAGCATAACTTTGTTGGAGTTGGTAGAGAAATGCCATTTAAATTGTTATGTGCACGATCAAGTACCAAGGACATGGTCGTGATCTGTGATACAAATGCATCAAATCGTCCATGCCTCTATGTGGTCAAATGTGCACTCAAATTCCGACCATCTTCGTCGAACAATTCAGCAAAAATAACATTTTCAGTGCTCATGAAGCGGGACAAATTCAAGTCCTGAACCCTGACTCTACAGCGGCCTAATGAGAAAAGTAATTGAAAGAAATATCAAGGTTTAACTTCATAAAGGAGACACATGAACAAAGCGACTGAATAGAACGGGCATGGTTAACATGACATCAAAACAACTGCGGAAAACCATGAGAACACGCTCAATCGTGAAAACTCTATGCAACAAACCAAATGTAGCACATGAATCAAACCTTTCGGAGGGGCAAAATGCGTGAAAGCATGCCGATAAGAATGTCTGTGTTTAAACTCCTTTCGTGGGCCTCATCCAGGATTACAACAGAATACTTCTTGAGAAGAAAATCAGCCTGTTCCAATCAAGCCAAAATAAATTTTAAAATCATAAAATATGCAGTGCAGAAATTAAGTTATAACGAGGAGCTAATTTGAATCTTAGAACACACACCTACAGAAACTTACAACTATAAGTACTTAACCCTGCCTTGAAAATTCTTCAGCAACTTCCTCCCGTATACCTGGATTTCTCGAAGAAGAATTCCGTCAGTCATAAACTTGATACAGCTGTTGATTCCAATCTTTCGGTCGTGGCGTACTTGAAACCCAACTTCTTGTCCCAATGTAACATTCATCTCGTATGCTACACGCCTGGCTGTTGCGAGCACAGCAACCCGGCGGGGCTGAGTGACTCCTATAACCCCAGACTTCTCCGGGCATAGGCTTGAACCAAAACCAGCCTCAAACAAAAACTGAACAGAAGATAAACACAACACTGTAAACATGACATTGTCTCCTGACTAAAAGCATCTCAGCGTTGAGGGACTCGAAAGCTATCATTACCAGCATACACTTTTACTTGACTATTTCCGTCCACCATCGGAACGAATGGGGTGATAAACCATTCCTTTCAAAAACAGTTTCTCCAAAGCAAGACAAGCACCAACAATCTTTACATTCCAACAGTGGAGTTGTATCAATACGGCGTGACTAACCTGGGGGACCTGAGTCGTTTTACCACAACCTGTTTCACCGCATACTATTACTACATCGTTCTCACTGATGGCTTCTACAATTTCCTGCTCCATCATGACTATCGGCAAATTTTCCCGCCCCCTCTCAACATCTTCTGGTCGACTTATTGGGACTGCTACTTTTCGAAGCTTTAGATCTGCTTTCTCGGCTTGAGTATTAAGAGATTCTTTAAGATACACATCATGAGGTCTTAAACTCGGTAGTATACCCTCAGACTCCGCACCAGAAACTGCTGCTTTATCAAAATCTTCAAGTTCTACCATTCTATCTACATCATCGACTGAACCGGAAGCTTCAACAAGCTTCTCTTCCTTTTTCTTCTTCTGCTTTTTCTTCTTTTTCTTCTTGGGGTTTTCATAGGAATCAGAATTATTTACACAAGAAGCTGAGATACTTGGCTCTACGGAGGTACTCATCGAAACATCGAGCATTGGAGCAGCGTTCTCTGATGAAAGGTTCTTCCTACACTTCTTTCCAGGGTTTCCACGTTCTGCACTCTCGAGTTCTGGAAAAGACGCGGCCATCTCGTTCCCAGGCATTTCTGACAGGGTCAATTCGAGATTTCCCTTGTGAATCTCTTCGCCGTGATCGTCCTGACACTTAGAATTAGAGGCTCCACCACAGTGTGTTTCAGTCCTCCGAGATGGTATACTAACATCTAAACTTTGATTATGGTCTCCTACCATAACTGTTCCGATACAACTATCATCTTTTTTCCTCTTCAAACCCTTAGATGCTACAGTGCTGCTTAAATTGAACACTCCCTCATTGGCTTGCGCATTAGCTAGGGAAGTTTTGTTGCTAATTTTTGAAGCTACTCCTTTCAATAGCTCAGACTTTTCTTCCTCCATAAGGACCTGGTCAATATGCTGATCACCAGGTCTTTCTCGAAACAATGGGATACCCGAAGGTACCGGAAGCCCCGCTCGCTTGTAATTCATTGCTCGCTGAAGCTTCTCTTTCATTGTTTCCTCCTGTTAACAAGAAATATTTACTACATTACGCTACCTTACATCTCAAGGACATTGGCAGAAACAAAGTTCATAACAATCGTATCTCAAACACCTTTCGCATACAATAAAAGGTAACAAAAATTAGGAAATTGAGAAATGCTCAACAGCTCCTCGCAATGACACGAAGTCACAATCTAAATTTATTGGTGAACTCTTTAATACAAACAGCTGGAGCAAAAGGGGCCCAAATACGCAGAACTTTAAAAATACACCATCCAAACTAAGAGAGGACCTTAATCAAGATCAAATTTTCTGCTGATGTCAACAAAGCCTGTAATAAAACCTAGCATAAAACATCTTTATAACGGGTAGTAAACAGAGATCGAGTGTTCCGACCTGCCCAAGCGTTCCAGAGGAATGAAGCAGACCAAATTTATCATCCGCCAGTTTATGTTTCCTAAGAACGATGAATCAAGGACAACTGCAGTTGCACATTTCACATTCCCGGACAGTGATTATTGCGTAGTAAAATTGAAGTACTCCATGTCCGAACAGGAAACAACAAGTTTCACCACATAAGAGTGATTCACTAAGTGCGATGGTGCCCTGACGATCCAATGTCAAAGGTCTGAGCGGAATGCACAGAATCTTCCCCAAGCGTAACTACGAAAAAGGATACTGTAAAGTCTCCATGACTTGGACCCGAAGTTTCTTCTTCTCCTCCTCTTCCTGCACAGTCCAATTAACCCAATTTCATCTTCCGGATGCAAGAAATAATAATCCTCAGCTCTGTAACATTACGGAATTAACCACTTTGCAACATTTGGCATGCTCAAGGAATCCTCAGCAGCATTAAAGACGAGAAAAAGACGACTCAGATTCCAACCTGCAGTCTGCGGAGCTTCCGCTGCATGTTCTTGCTCAATTTCACCTGCTTATCTTGCTCCTGCAAAGCGTAAGACGGTAATTTAATTGAATCAATAAAAACACATAGAAAGACGGGACGCAGAATCTCGCGACACACCATTCTCGAGTCGAAAACATAATGAATACGTGATAGCCGCGTCCATCTATCTCACCAACTGAGAGAGCTGTTTCTCCTTTTTCTTCTTCGGCCCTGATATCATCTCCATATTCGAGCAATCAACGCCCATACTATCCTTGCATCGAGGAATAATTCCGTCCGCGTTGCCCAAATTCTCGTCGCGATCACCGAAGCTAAGCTCTGAGGAGACATGAAGCCCTAAGTGCTGCTTCTTCCTCTAGAGAATAAAAAACCACAACAATTACAATGTCAACCTCGGCACATCTGAACCTACAAAACCTATCACCTCGAAAACCCCGACGTGAGAGCTAAATTCAACTCACCTTCTGGGACAACTGCTTCTCTTTCTTCTTTCTCGCCATTACGGCAAGACGCGCTTCGCCTCTACAAATCTATGACGAGTCGATAGTATAGCAAACGAATTACGTGAGCGTATTGAAGCACGGTTCTAAGCGAATCACTTCATCACAAAACACTTCCGTGGACTCCATCTCCAAAACATCATTCGACATAAACCCCCCGCTCTCGCGAGCGGCTGCAAAACCCTTTCTACCCTAATTTCGGCTCGGACACGAGCCTTAGCTTCGGCTCCCAGCTTCGGTTATAACTAAATGAGACAATACCTCTTCACCTTCATTCCGGACACCTTTAACCGTTCGTTTGCAGATTCATTTTATTATTTTAAAATAATATATATATATATAGTATTTAATTTAGGGGATTGTTAAATTGACCCATGCTTTAATTAAATAGACTTTTGATGAAAAATATGGTAATCATGATGAATATGGTTGGTTTTTATTGATTGCAAATCCAATAGTTGAGAAATGAATTTAGAGGTTTTTCTTCTTTTTTTTTTTTTCTTTTTCATCATCATGAATAGAATGAGTGGGTCAATCAATAAAAACTTAGTTTTATTTCAAATTCTCCTTTTTTTTATTATTAAAACCAAACAAACAAGAGTGATGATGCTGAACTTCCTTGAGTTCCCAAAGTATTTTAGATGTTTGAATCCTCTTCGATATAGCTTCAACTCTTAGCTTTATGTTTATGTTGGAAAAACTCAAAATAATTAATTCTACATAGACATTGAATCACAGTAATTGCACAATTTTGATTATTCTTTATTTTCATATATTTAACTTATATTCTTTGCATTGTAACAAAAAAAAGGAGATGTTATGAAACTTACATTTTCTATGTATTCATTTATATATTTATTTAGTGCTAACCAAAATATTAATAAATAAATAAATTACTTAAAATTAATAACCAGGAACTAAATTTTATTCATGATACTGTTAACTGTGATACAACAGTAATGCTGCACGTTTTTTATTTTAAGAAATGATTAACTTTGGAGTTATTTGGGTACAAATTTTTAATTTAAAAAATATATTAGGATTAATATTACAAAGGACTTTAATCTTTCTTTATGATAATGATGATGATATGTTTGTGTATGTGTATACACACACTAAAAATAAAGATCACAAAACACACTTGTAGAGAGGAAGAAGAAAACAAACAAAAAATTAACAAAAAACAAAATGATTTAATCTGAGTTTAGTAGTTAATGTGGTTTTTTTTTTTTTTTTTTTTTTTGGTACAACACCATCTTTTAATTGTTAAAAATAAATATCTTATTAAAAATAATAATAATAAAATATCCATTCTAAGATATTAATCCTTCTATGATGATTCAGGCTACACACACACTCCAAGTTATTGTATGCACATCCATTCTGTCTATACACACACCCAAAGCTTTTGATTGGTTCATCCAAATTTCTTTTTTCTTATCTCTACATGGATTTTGGTCCTTCTCCTTTTAATGCTTTGAACTGTACTTCAACATTGTTCTTTTTTTTTTTGAACTTGTAAAATTTACTACTTAGTAAGTGACCAAATTTGGCATTGAATTTGTTGTATTTAGTAACCTCATCCTTTAACTTCTTATTCACTTGTTTCTAATTTTCATTGAATGTAGAAAGGTCTTATAGTTGGGTGAATATTTTTGACATCAAGATCAGCACCTTCTAAAGCATACAAACTTTGCACTTGCTTCTTCAACTCGCCTTTTAGCATCTCTACTTTATCATTTGCTTCTATGAGTTGCTTCTAGAGAAGAAAAAAAAAAATACAAAATACAAAATACAAAATTTACATTTTCAAATGTCCTTGATTCTTTGGAATTAGATATGCCGCTTTTACCTACATCCTTGTAATGGCTTGGAGAAACATTTGAAGATCGAACCTGCTCAACTTTAATATGCAAGATTTCCTCCAATTGAGACTCAAGTGATTTGTTCCTTTCTATCAAGTGCTCTATAATTTGATCCAAATGTAACTTCAATTCTTTGAATTCCACTTTGAAATTTTCCTTCTCTTTAGTACTTCGACAAGCTTCTAAAGCAAGAGTTTTACTCTCCTTTAAATAAATCCCTTTACCTAAGATTTTTACATCAACATCATTTCTATCTTTAGTATCTTTTTTGGAAACTTCAAGAGATGTACTTTCATTGCCAAAATCGAAGATAGTTCCATCTACACTTCCATTAGACACAATCATAAGTACAGCCTCAGTTGCTTCAATTTTTTGTTGCACCAACTTTACTTCTATATTCTATTTCTTGATTGCTTGCAACATCTTCTTTATCAATCCTATTTCTAAAGCAAATCAAACATTTTCACTCCTTAAGCTTTTTATATTTGTTGATGTCATATTATAAAATAACTATATATAGTATTTTTGAACTTTAGATAGAAGTAGAGTATAACAAGAATAAATATCAATGTATCAATTTCTTTTACAAGAAACCTCTACCATAATACAAATATACAAATAAGTTTTTATTGTAGAAGAATTAATAAAGCTCTTTCATGCAAGATGTGTCAAAGACTTACTATTACGGACATACACATATAAGCCAGTAATTACATGTATAAATAGGTAGAAGTGAGTAAAAGTATATAATAGTAAGTTAATTCTATAATATTTACTATAAAAAACTCCTAAAAGCTTCATAGATGCTACTATGACTTTATAGGTGTCTTTAATTGATTTTTTCGATTAGAAACATGATCAACAAGTTGGCCATGTGCCACACATATTATTAGCTTGAAGATCAAGTTAATTATGTGGCCCACACATAAAAAAACTTGCCTTGTAAGTCAAGAAATGTGTCCTATAAAGTCAATACATATTAGAGGTCCTATAGAACATCGCCACGTAATTCCTAGTTAGATAGTATATATAGAGATAAGAAAGAAACTTTCTTCACTCTTCTCAACTCCTTTCTTGATTCCAGTCTAGTTTCAAGAGTCTCTAATTTTCTTGGGTTTTGGCAATAGCCATTCCAGTTTCTTTCTTAATATATAAATCAGGTTATTTCTATTTTTTCATCTTTCTTTGAGAGAAGTCTCACTTGTTTATTTATTTTTATTACGTTCTAGTCCTTGACGAATTGACAAGAATATACTTACAATATCAGAGTTTTGTCTAATCTTGATTAAGAATGGATTATCCCTTTCTCTTGATAAGACATAAGCATATTAGAAGTTGTAAATTACCCTCTTCTAAATTGTTATTGTCCTTAGTATTTTCTTTGTTCTCAAGCCTTTTCTTCTATTCGTCTTGAGCGATATTCAACATCTTTTCTTTTTTAAGTATTATCATGGCAGAACTTACTGAAATGAAGAATGTAATGGCACAAATGCAAGAGCAATTGAGGGAGTTAATGCTTACAATGCATCAACTCAATTTACCACCACAAGGAGCAACAAGATTGGCAGGAAGTGAAGACATAGAAATGATTGGAGCTGCTTCAACATATGTACCAAATCATGTCCCTTTTCCTATGGTAGAATGCCTTTTTAGTATTAGAGAACCTAGAATTGCCATACCCGAGAAGTTTGATGGTACCAAATCAAAGTTTAGAGGATTTATCAATCAAGTACAACTTGTCATTGAACTTCAATCTCAAAGCTATCCAACTCCAAGGTCGCAAGTTAGATTCATTGATACACTTCTTTCAAATTCAGTATTATCATGGTTTTTATCTTTTCTTGAATGATGAGATCCAATATTTGATAATCTAGAGACTTTTTTGGTAGAGTTTCCATCCACCTATGGAGAATATGATGCAATTCATATTGCAACCAACAAGATCCGTATTTTGTGACAAGGTAATCGATCAGTAACATTGTATGCTTCACAATTTTGATAACTTGCAACTGATATCAAGTAGAATAATGCTGCACTCATTAGCCAATTTCTCTATGGATTACAATATGAGGTAAAAAAATTAATGCTCAACTTACCTGATCTTCAAACATTGAGTCAAGCAATTGACTTTGCTATGAAGTATGACAAATGTCTTTTTGAATTTTGATCTGAGAACCATATAAGTGGATCTCAACGTTACTATAATTCAATGGCAACACCAACATCTCTTCAATACATATATTTGGAAGTAGAGGATATGCAAATTTATGCAGTACGCTTCAAACCTCTTACTCAGCAAAAAAAGACTCGTCGTCGTCAGGAAGGATTGTGCTTATATTGTGGAGAAGCTAAGCACACTGTTCAACATTGTCCAAAGAAGTGACGCAACTATATAATGAGGAGTACAATAATCAAAGAAGATAATATGTTGAAAAATAAATTTATCTAGCTACAATAGGGACCGTGCAGTTGGAACCTTGTAGAACATCTAGTGAAGGTCATATTCTCTCTTTAGAACCCTCTCCATGTTTTACAATAAATATTATTCTAAGACCTAAACATCACAAAACCTCTGCCTTACTAGATTCAAGAGCCTCAACATGTTTCTTACACAAAAAATTTGCTAAAAGACATTGTATACTTTTAGTGAATAAGACTAAACCTATTCATGTAGAAGTCATAGATAGTCATCCGTTGTCTTTAGGAAATATTACTTATAAAACACTTCTTATAGAAGTAGCAACTAATGGTCATAGTAGCTTTACAATATTTAATATTATTAGATCTCTCTCTAATCCAATCATTTTAGATTTATTATGGCTAAAAAAATATAATCCTAAAATAGATTAGACTTCTCGTAGTCTTAACTTTTTTTAAAGTATAATTAAGAGCATAATTAATCAAGTGGAAAGTCATAAGTCTAATACAATTAAATCTGTATTTATAGGTACAAGAGTGATTGTATGTTGCAAAAGAAGGATCACCTTGTGTCACTTATGCCACACCTATTTCTATTGGTGGAAAGACTTCAAGTGGCATTCCAAGCCAATATCAAGATTTTCAAGATGTATTTGAGAAAAAGAATGCGGATACTCTTCGAGAACATCGTTCTTATGACTGCTCAATTGACCTTCAAGAAGGAGCACAATCACCATTTGAATCAATCTACAATTTATCACAAAATGAGTTCGATCAACTCAAGGAGTATATTAAAGAGAATTTGTCTAAGAACTTCATACGCCATTCCAAATCTCCAGCAAGAGCTCCAATTTTATTTGTGAAGAAAAAAGATGGATCATTGTGGA